ATTCAAGCCCTCTTCAAGCATTATTAGTCTCAAAGTAGGTTCCCTCGTCATCGAATTTGAAAGCATTGAGTATCTACATGTTACAGTCATCTAATGTTCATCTAATATTGGCTGATAATTCTTAAAGGAACACCAGATATTTGTGAAAAAACTAACTTCAAAGGGCAATGATAACATTGTTTACACTAGAATTATGATGTTTTTTAGCTTATGTAAAATAGGAAGATTTTGAGTGTTGTTTCAGGAATGAGTTTGCTTTCTAAGGTGGTTTTCGCTGTGCATTCTATTAGTGTTTCATCAAAATCTGGTCAATCCCTATTATGAACCACTATTGTGATTCCTGATAGTAATACATTTTTAAACACTTACATCTCAAAAGGCAGGAACAAATAAACCTTTTCACAAGTCTTACCTATTCATTCGATACTGTATGTTGAGATCTATAGTATTATCTGGTGTTGAAAGACGTGAAAAAAGGCTCTCTGCCATGCCAAGATCCCTAAAATAAAACTGAAGATATGAAAGTATTCTATAAATATTTTAAGTTTAAGAACATACTTCCTATGTATTTCTAGAATATACTTTAAATGTATATTTTATTTTAAAAATGATAGTAATCAAAGCTATAACAGTAAAACAATAAGAGAAGTTTTGTCTTATCATTATTTAACCACTTTAAACATCATATTTCACATGTAGTTTAGATAAAAATTATAATAGAATAATTTTTTTAAAGTGTGCTTTAAGTCAACAGAATTCTGCAATAGTGTTAATTGCAAGCACTTTAAGAACACAACCGTTAGTATTTGTTTGATTGTACACAGTGATTATTAATGAAATCACATAATCAAAATAATTATATCCTATAAACTACTTGAACATAATTTCATCACAAACACACTGAAGATCACAAACTTTATTCAGGAAATTTTGGACATGGAACAGTGTTTCCAACCATATTCCACTGAATACCAAAATTGCCTTTTTCACAGATTAGTAATGTTTTTATTTACATGTTCACAACTTGTTACCAAGGTCTACTGATTTGGGGGGATTTTAATCCTCATCAGTAATCCTATACAAGGGTAAATCAAAAGAATAAGTCTAAGTTTCATAAAGTGGTGGAGTGTTTATCATATGAGAGTTGTTTTGAGATGTCTTTTATTCACACAGTGAACCTATATACTACATATTCTTGAAAATCCTATATAAATATAGGATCATTGTGTGAGTAAAAAACATATCAAAACATCACACTTACAGTGCTTTATTTTTCTTCTCTCTCTCTCTCTCTCAACAACATGAGGGTAACAATTTGAATAAGATGCATGATATCATAAGAATCAAAGAACACTGTTCATTTAGAGATAGCATTCATTGAAATTCCTATTGAGAATGAGAAAAAGCATACTGAACACTTGGGGCAATTTTTGAAACCCCTTGTACCATACTCAAACTTTCCTGAATAAAACTTATGACTCTCAATGAGTCTGGTAAAATTTAGTTCCCCTAAAAGTATAAGACTTTAAGATATAATAATTTTAACTATGGAGTTATCTTCATAATCACCCTGTAATTAACAGACACAAACTGACTTTAAGCCTATTGAATTATTTCTAAAACAATTATGAATATTTTGAGATGTGTGTACGATAAAATTACTTAACTGCAGATTATCGCCAAGTTTTTTGGGAATAAAAAATGCCTCACAAATGTTTCAAAGAAATAAAACTTAACAGCTCAGTGCAAACTTAACTTAAATATCTTAAATATTACACATTAACTCCAGCAGTACAATCTAAATCTAAAATAACAGAAGACTGAAATTCCAAGTCTTTCTAAATATTAAAATATTTACAACAAAATAACAACTCTAAACAAGATCTTATTGGGTTAGAGAAAATGAATACAAAGCTAAGGTTATAACTGGTAACTTACAGATAAACTTTAATAAATTTATCTCTCACTAAATATAAAATCTCAGGTTAACCTTAGTCTCTTATAAAATACATTCTCTAAAGTCCGATCTATCTTCTAAACATTATTATTCAATAAATTTTACAACCTCATTTTTTATGCCCTAACAATAATTCTTTTCAGAGTTTTAGTTTTATAAAATTCCTGATTATACTTGAAATACAGACCAGTAACAATGACATGAAACTATGACACCTATCAGCCAAACTTCTCAAGGTAACAAAATAAAAAAAAACAGTGAATACACCAATTTCAAATTGCTTATGCAAAACAACTTACATGATAATAAAAATTCATATGCTAGAGATTAACAAAACCAAAGATACCTATCATACAATATTTTGAAATGAACAAGTATGTCATTTTTTGTTTTAGATAAAGACCAACTTTTAAGAACATCAAATCTTTTAAACTAGAAAATAATTATTCTATATATACACACTGAGTTGTCACAAGT